TTTTTTTCTCACTAAATAGTATGTCAGTGTAGTTTGTTTAACCATTGACCTATTGATCAGTTTGGGGCTATTCTGAATAAAAATGCTATAAGCATTCATACAATTTTTTTCTTTCACTGAGGAGAATGCCCAAAAGTATAATAGGTGGATTTTATGGTCATTATATATTTAGTTTTATAAGATTACATATAGTTTTCCAGAGAGGTTATATTGTTTTATATTTCAACCAGCAATATAAATACTGTACATTTTCACCAACATTTGGTGGTATTATGTTTTCTAAATTTTTAAACTTTTTTCATAGATGTATAGGGATATGTTCTTGTAATTTTCATTTTCAACTTCCTGATGGCTAATGGCTAATGATGTTCAATATATTTCTCATATGCTTATTTCCTCTTACATTATCTCTTTGGTGAGAGTTTGCATTTTTATTCCTCCATTTTAGACATGGGGGATGGGTTTTTTTTGTTTCGTTTTTGTTTTTTGCTAGTAAATTGCCTGTGAATCTTCTTATAAATTTACTTAGATGCTAAGGAACAGACTGAAATAGAAAAATGTTGCCTGGTAGGGTTTTCAGCTTTTGTATTAGTGTCTCTGGAAGACAAAGATATATAAGATAAGTACGTTAGTATTGAAGTTCTAAAACCATCTGGTATTTTTTAACTGGAAAGGAAAGAAGAAAACTGTAAAAGTCTTGAGATTTCTACATTGTATTACTTCAAATGTGATATTTTCATGGGCAAAGCTAACTCCGAATGATGTCCTTCAAGTTCCAGAGTCACTAAGCTGCCAGTGGGACTCTAATAAGTAAGACTTGTAACAGATTTTTCAAGAAGCTTATTCTGTTCCTTCTCCCTTATTTCTTGAGCTTCATACTATTCCAGTAAATCTGTATCTGTGTCTACTCTATTACCAGTTGCAAATATTTGGTATCAACATCAGAATAGTCCTTGTGTACTTGATTTGGGTTTGGATTAAGAACAGAACAACTGTGTCTTAAGAGCTCCATTTCTACAGTTTTCTGCAGGAATAAATGGCCTAATTCCTAATTCAGTATGCATCTTTAAAAAAAATGCACAGTGGCCAGGTGCCCATGGCTCATGCCTGTAATCCTAGCAATTCAGGAGGCTGCGATCTGAGGATCACAGTTCACACCCAGCCCAGACAGAAAAGTCCATGAGCTCCATTAAACTACAAAAAAGTTGAAAGTGGAGCTGTGGCTCAAGTAGGAGAGTTCTGTCCTTGAGCACAAAAGTTCAGCAACAGCACCCAGAACCAGATTCAAGCCTCAAGATCAGCAAAACAAAACATAATAAAACAAACAAACCAAAAAACATAACGATGATCTAAGAACAGATAGCTTAGAAGAGAATAAACATATATATATATATATATGTATGTGTGTGTGTGTGTATATATATATATATATATATATACATACCCCTAAATGTAAATAAATGGGTTAGAATAGAATAAACATATACACATGCTTAAACTTAAACAGTTGGAAGAGGGGCTGGGAAGGTGGCTCAGTGGTAGAGTGCTTGCCTTGCATGCCTGAGGCCCTGGGTTCGATTCCTCAGCACCACATAAGCAAAAAGAAAAAAGCCAGAAGTGGCGCTGTGGCCCAGGCCCAGAGTTCAGGCCCCACAACCAGACCCCCCCCAAAAAAAATTATTTTAAAAAAACAGTTGGAAGAAAACTTGATACTTTATGTATATGTAAATATGTCCTACAAATTCTTATCTACCTGCAGTATAACCATATATATTTTTCTGTAGTGTAATCATATTGAAGTAAGGAGGTGAGGTCTGGCCAGAGCCATATAGGCCACATGGTAGGTGGTAGGATCTGGCATCTTGTCTTCATGCTGAGGGAAGGAAACACCCCTGCCCACTACCTGCCTTCCAAGTGATGAGCATTACTGGAACCCTGGAGGCAGGGGCTGCTACTTGGCTGATAGGTTACTGAATCTGTCAGTTCAGTGTCCGAGACTGGGAATTTCCTGTGGACCTGCCACCTGCTCAGACCCTATTTAGGCCCAGACCAGCACAGGCTCCAGGAAGCCATGCCACATGTATCTCAGTGATCGTGTCCTGTCTCCTGTCTCCCGTCTAATCACCAGCCATCATGGTGTCCCAATTCAGCTTTCCATTGGAGCTGAGTTGGTTTGTTGGTATTGTTTTTGTTCTCTCTTTCCTCTCTAACCTGTTTCCTAACGATGTTAAGTGTATTTAGGGGCTGCAGGCCTTTGTAACAACTGGCTACCCACAGCCTGCTAACTTACAATAAAGACTCCAATAATCCATCTTCCAAAATGTGGCTTCTGGGATAATTTACCTTGCAATAATATATATTAATTTCCAATGCTATTATTTTTAATATACAAATTTATATAGTTTAATAACAAATAAAAACATAAAAATCAGGCAAGTAGTAACAAGCAAATCATACATTATAAATCATTAGCAAACATATAAGATGATGTTCAACTTTACTAGGAAGCATAAATTTAACAGAAAATTGACAGTTAAACATTGATCGAATAGTCAAATAAACAGCAAATAATAACGAGGGTTAATTGGTTTGGGGAAAAGGTATTGTTCAAACATATTTGCTGTTTATATATTGCTAATAGCCTTTTTCTTAGTACAGATTGGTAGTATCTCTTAAATGTTAAAATACACTCACTCTGATATAGTGATTTTATACCTGAGGATCTGTACCATAGAAAAATAAAAGTAGATATGAATATATAAGATAGGACATCCATTTCAGTATTATATGTAATAAAATAGAATTACATAATTAACCTAAAAGAAATGGGAATGTTTGAAACACAAGAAACAGCCATCAAGGAGTTCTACAATGCCACATAGTGAAGTTTATTACTATCTACAGCACTGACTAGGTAGAGGTGGTAGGATGTACATGAATAAAAATAAATAATATCTAGGAACATAAGGATATAGTTTAATTGCCATGAGGGTGAGGCTGGGGAAGAGGTGTATATGCAGATATTATGTGCTAAAAATTAAAAGTCTGGGAAAATATACACTGCTGTGATAAAAAAAAAAACATTCTCCAACCTGAGATGAGGGAAATTCAGTTTATTTTATATATTTGTGCAATGTTCTTTTTTTTTCTTTTTGTTATCAGCCAGGTTATTAGCAAGCTTTCCATTATGACAAAATATTATTAGCTAGCTTTCCATTATGACAAAATACTTGAGCAATCAACAGTAAGGAGGTTTCAGTAATTCCTGTGCAGAACATCATGGCAAAAGGTTGAGGCAGACAACTACCGAGTTCACGATAACTGGAAAGCTAAGTTGGAGGAAGGGGAGGAGGAAAGAGAGAAAAGGAGAAAGGAGGAGGAGGATGGAGGGGAGGAGGAGGAGAGAGGAGGAGAGGGGCAAGAAGACCATATAGTTTTTCTTTTAAGGATATACCTTCAACCTTCAGTGACCTACCTTCCTTCCATTAGGCTTGATTTCAAAAGCTCTATTACTTCCTAAGTGTATCACAAGCTGATGACCAAGCCTTCAACACATAGCCTTTGAGGGACATTTAAAATCCAAAACTTAGCACCAAGATATAGTTCTTTGAACTGTTAATAAAGATGGCTGTTTCTTGTGTTTCAAACATTCCCATTTGTTTTAGGTTGATTATATAATTCTATTTTATTACACATAAAACTGAAATGGATATCCTATCTTATATATTCATATCTACTTTTATTTTTCTATGGTACAGATTCCCAGATGTAAAATCACTATAAGAGCTAAACCCAGTCCATGACCAGAGTCAGAATTTGGCCAAAAGAATTGCTATAAGAAAACTTTTAATGAAATTTAAAGAAAATATTTTCCTTGCTACCATTATCAATTTTTTTGTATTTGGGATACTTATTTCACTTATTTCTCTCTGCTTATTTGACAGAAAAATATTTTGTAAATATCCCCCTTTGGATCTATCCATTCTCTTATCTCTCCAATAAATTGACTATGAGTCAGGAATTGGTAAATCAGATCCATATCTCTATGGGCAACCTTATTTCATATTGGTAAGATTTGAAATCTTAACTGTAGCTCTTTCTGATTGTTCATTTTTGCTGGTACTGTTTTAGTGAGAGGCAGAGATGAGCCAAACTCACCTGTTCCATTCTTTCTACTAATTGAAGTTTAAAAGGAAATTCTTCAGTTCAAATAAATAAATGCATGTGGATGGAATGAGATTCTGATTCAACATGTCCAATTAAATATAAGCATTAAGGTACATTCTTAAAGAAACTTCCATAATATAACAACAGCTACAACAACAAAAACTCAGCCAGTAAAGAATGATTAGGTGAGAAATGAAATGATTATCACCATCTCTGCCTACAAAACCTCCTATAACCTGACATTAATAGTTGCTGTCTATTAAAAATTGATATTGATTGTATCAAAGGTAGCACAATGAGACAAAGCATCAGGATATGAAATACATAACTAACAAACTCAACCTCTTCAAAATAACTTTCTTATTCAATATGGAAACTGGGAATTGTTCAGCACTCAATGAATCATCTTTGGCAAGCACAATAGAATCTTAAGGGACATTTCACAGCCTCTCATTCAATTGTTAGATGTTTTCAGCTTTCACAGATAGGGGAGAAGGTAGCTTGTATAGTCATCATCTTGTAGCTAAAATTGTACAGTAAAGATATTTAGAGTTGTTGCAATAGATCTTTTTGCTTTTTTTTTCCCCGTTTCTTTCCTCAGAGCTGTTTTGACTCCCAAAAGCCATCTGGAATTACTTAATGCTAATGTTTTTAGATCTCACTATTTACCTAGGACTCGTGTTAAACATAAATATGGGTAACTTCCTTTTTCTTACCTCATAGCCTTGTATTTATTTAACTGTTATTTTGCAAGAAGAAATCTCATCTTAATACTCTCTGCTAGTACTATTTTCCTATGGTCAAACACATTTTTTTTGCTTTTTTTTTTTCAGGAAGCTTTAGAGCTACCCTCAGATGATTCTGAAGTGCCTGGGACTACTGCAGTGTCTGAAGTAGTTAAATATGAGTATCATGTCTTATATTCCTGCAGCTACCAAGTGCCTGTACTTTACTTTAGGGCAAGCTTTTTAGGTAAGACCATGTCTGAATCTAAAAGTAACTTCATAATGTTTACATACAGGATAGAAAGAATATTTGGACAATCATTTTCACGATGAAAAAAAGTTAAAAATAAGAAAACTGTGGGTGAGGTAAGGTTTTACCAGTAAACTTTTTCATGCTTCAGAAAAGTGGATGATATCATCCTAGCCTTAAGTCTGATCTTCAGATTCTTGGCCTCCTGCCTGAAGTTGACTAAGCCCCCTGGCCCTATTTTTCTTTCTTTAAACAAGTAGAAATAGCTTAAAGCTACAATGTTTATTTACTTCTAACTTGACAGCAAAATTTAACTTACAATCTCAAGTGATCCCATCTTTGCTCCAAAGCTAATTATTGTTATAAAGAGATGCTTAACAATTAACTGAAACTGTATTTTAAAATATGTCCTTTGGTCACCTATACAGCTCCAATGCCTTAGCTTCCTGGTGTGTTGTTATTCAACTCATTACCCTGTCAACACGGTGGAACACCCTGTCTCCTTGCAGGCCTTTGCTAATAAAGCTTATTTAACCAGCAACCACATGGCATTCTCATCCTGCAGTTCAGCAGAGACTCTCCCTTTAATGTCCATTTCCTAAACCAGGTCAGCATTGGGGCGCCCTGCTGCTCTGGCTCCAGGAGCCCCTGTTGTCCAGTTTACACCCCTTTTATATGTGGTTTTATATATATATATATATATATATATATATATATATATATATATGGCCTTATCAGCAGCATTATGCGTTTTAAACATCTTTCCCCTTGTAATTTTTTCTGGATAGCTAAGACATCTGAATTTAGCCAATGATATTTTATTTTTAATTAAAAAGTAGCTTAAGCTGCTATGAATGTGCATTTGGTAGATTTAATCACTTGCGGCCTTATATTGTTTAATGGTCTCTAATTTTGCAGTGCTGGTGGTTTAACAAGCACTTAGGATTTAAAACACAAGAACAAATTCTCATAGACTCCCTGGTGAGGAGATTTTAATCTGAGGTGCAGTTCCTAAGAACTGACAATTTGGGGTAAATTTTCAACTTGGGACATGGGGAATTGAAGACACTGATAGTTTACAATTCACAAACTCTTACAGCAGATTTATCCGTATGGTTATTACAACCCTTTTAACACTCACTTTATTGCAATTATATTTGGTTTAGAGCTCAGAGGATAAAGGAGATTTGTTGTCTGTGAGCTGTGCTATACTAAAAAGTAGGTAAGATCCACTTTCTACATAGGATAAAGGTGGAGGGGAATGACTTTTCTTGGATCTGGTTTGCAGTGCCTGAACTTAGCACTTTCTAAGTCCAAAGTCAAATGAATGCTATAGGTAAAGGAAATAGGGTGCTACTTCTCCCATTCTGTACTTTCATATAATTAGTATTCACCATAAGCAGTTAATATACAGAGAAGAGCTTCCAGATATAATAAGTTGTTTAGCTTGTCAGCATTAGGGAATTGGAGATGTTGAAACATGACTGCTTCTAGCTGGAAGTGGGTCTTACTGAGGCTGGTGGATGAGCTCATACATGTGCTTTGCTCTTATGTGCCAACAGCTCCCCTTACAGTACAGCACAGTAATTGTCTCTGCAAGTCCAATTACATTTTAATGACATTGGTATACTTCCTAAATTATTTCTTTGTAATGATATTCTACTCCTTACAATACATATGTTTGAGTGTACACACATATAATTAGTATTCTTGGATGATTCTGTTAATATACTTGTAGAATAACCTTCATTTATGCTTAATTTAAAAAAGTCACTTATTTTATATGGAAACATTCCCTCTACTTCCAATTCTGTGCTATATTGAATGTATATTAGGAATTCCTAAATTCATTTTCATCTAGATTTCATTTACTACTTGTTTGGTTCAGTAAAGTATCAAGATTAATTTTAATTGCAAAGGATATTGAAATGTTTTTTGGTACAGAAACATGAAAAATGCTTTCTTTTATCATCTTATAATATTTTCTCTTTTTTATGTAATTATTTTGGGGGGCGTCCGGTCGTGGGGCCTGAACTCTGGGCCTCTGCCCTGTCCCTCAGCTCTTCAGCTCAAGGCTAGCGCTCTACCACCTGAGCCACAGTGCCACTTCCGGCTTTTTTCTTTTTGCTTATGTGGTGCCGAGTAATCGAACCCAGGGCCTCAGGCATACAAGGCAAGCGCTCTACCACTGAGCCATCTTCCCAGCCCTTTTCTATGTAATTTAAAATAATAAGTATTCTAAAATTCATCCTTTACTCAAGTAATAATTTTTATTTATTCTCCCCAGTTTATTTCCTTTTCCTTTGATATCTGATTTTGCTGGCAGTTTATCTGTTTGTTAAACAAATCTGTGACAGTGGGGTGAGTAAATTCCTAATGTCTTCCTATTATTCCAGTCCAGATTTTTCTTTGGCTCATTTTAAGATAATTCCAACCTAGAAAGAGGATGACTGTAAAATTTCTTGCCCAAAGGTTTGTGTTGTGTGCATGTGTGTGTGTGTGTGTGTGTGTGTGTGTGTGTGGTTGCAGTTTCAAAAATGGTTCACTTAGCTTTGTTTTCAACAGATATATAGAATATTTTTGCATTTGATTGATAGTGAAACTTAGTTTCTCTTTTTCACTCTGAATTTTCTTCTTACAGGCTTTTAAATAAGAAAAACAATGCGTTCCTATTTAAATAGACATTACCCCATTTTCTGATCAACTGCTTCTTGAAATGCAAATCCATTGAATAGGGAGCTCCTCTTTTTCCTTAAGATAACCCAGTATCTTCTAAGCCAACTACTTCCCAAGACTCAGTTAACATGCCACTACTTTTGTTGTGTCACCTTATCCTATATCCTCTTATATCTCAATTGCACATTGCACTAATTCACCTATAAGAGGGTGAACTAGAAGGTACAGTTGAAAGAGTAACGAAGGAAATTAATAGAGGATATCTGTAAGGTAAGAAACCTTATTCATGGCTGTCTGTGTGATGATGCTTGCATTATATTATATTTTTATACATGCATGTCTGTATATTTAATACATATTTATATAGGTTGTCTCCTGTCTTACTTTGATACCCTTATGAGTATTAGCTATGCACACACTAATAAATATGTATTAAGTGAATCCAGTAATGAAGAATTTTTATTTCCAAATATAAGCCAAAGACTAAAACATCGAGATTCTGCCTGCTATGGTGATTTATGCTACTATATATATATATATATATATATATATATATGTATATATATTTACTGTTTAGTCTGATACTTCTTAGAGACTATAGGATAGTAGATTAAGAAAAATAGAACACCCTGAGGACTCAAAACTGGGCATCTAAACTAGCTGAGTAGCTGTTCTGCTTCTATAAACAATTTTTATTTAATCCTTGGTGGTAGATAGCCAAGTTCAGATCGCATTGTCTTTCTTGATGACTCTCATTTCCTTTACTTGAGCCCATAGGAGCTCTGCTCCCCAGTGTAGAATATGAATTTAAGACAAGAAATAAGCCCTTCTCAGTGTTATCTTTCTTCCTTAACTGCTTTGGTCATTGTAGATTTGGGATAGGTGATGGGATATTGGTTAGAACCTTTTGCCTCCCAGTAGTTGCTGAGAAAGAAGTCTTCATTCCACCGAATAATAATAAATAGCCTACAATTGAATAGTGCTTTGTAGTTCATGTACTCCATTTCCCCAAAGCACTGATAATGTCAATACATTTTTTTTTGTGTGGTCATTGTTGCTTCTGTGCTGTTTTGAAGCAAGCTGTATTAAAGAATTATTCGTAACATGTCAAAGATTCCTTTCCATTCCCTATCATTCTTATCATTCCATGGGCTTTTTATGTCCTGTTTTCTCCTTGCCTTTTATCAAAGGCTGACGGCAGGTGTTAGAAATGTAAAAACATAGGCAAATATATAATGGGTTTTGACTTAACCAATGTCTTAGGCATATTTCCCCCTTATTTCATAATTAGAGATTTCTATACTTATTTCAGCTTAAATTATAATTTATTGCTTCCCTTTTATTCTTAATATCTATTGAGAAATGGACTAAGTGGTTTTCATTTTCTAAATATTTAATTCTGTGGCTGAAATACTGTTTTTTGGGGGGGAAATTAGTTTATTTTTTTATTATTTTTGGGTCTGGTTGTGGGGCCTGAACTCCGAGCCTGGGTGCTGTCGCTCTGCTCTTCAGCTCAAGGCTAGCACTCTACCACTTGAGCCACAGTGCCACTTCCGGCTTTTTTCTTTTTGCTTATGTGGTGCTGAGGAATCAAACCCAGGGCCTCATGCATGCAAGGCAAGCACTCTACCACTGAGCCACCTTCCCAGCCCGTTTGATATATTTTTTAAGTAGTTAAAAAAGGCTGCTTTTTAGTTGAAAGAAACCATTTCTTCCATTTAAAATTTAGTGTCTTATGTTAGCCCAGGATATAGGGGTATAGAATTAATGTACACCCCAGACACTTCATGGAGAGGATTTGTTCAAGTATAGGCTTAAAGGATACTCATGGAGAAATTTAGTGTAAGACATGCCAAAGAATAATTCTTTCTCAAAAGCAGTATGAACCAAAGCAAGCAAAAGGCCAGTATAAATAAAAATCAATGGAAAGCTTGGAGTTCAAATGATGTAGAAGTTGTAAAGAAAAAGGTGTTTTCATGGTTTGGGACATAAGGAAGATTGTGTAGTGCACACAGGAAAAAGATAAGAAAATAGGAAAAGTGAATGTTTGAGAAAGTTGAATAATCAAAATAGAGTATCCATATGTCTTTCTGACAACTTGGAAGGAGCAATTGCAATTTTTTTTTTCTGAAGAGGAGGGGAAATACTTTGTAGAAAGAACGATACATGTCAACCAGTGGGGCTGGAAAGAGCATAGCATGTTAGCAGTTTGGAATATGAGTTGCCTTACGATGAATTATGGAAGAAATGCTTTGAAAGCTATGTGGTGGTCAACTAATGGGTGAGATAACAGAAAGTATCAGAAGCCATAAAAAATGTGA